TAGGATAACGGCACCTCTGACATGCATGCTCCTCAGTTTCTAAGAGCTGGTCTCATGCTTTGTGCAGGCATCTGTCTTCAAGTGGTATCAGGCAACTCCTGCACTTTTCAGACCAGAATCCCTGTATATCAGCCATGATCACCTCAGCAGGCCAGCTTAGGTTCAGTACCTACAGTTCTGTTCCTTCTAGGAGTTGTGATCATTTCTAGCTACTAGGAAGCCGTCTTACAAAAAAGCATCATTTATTTAGATCAAAAGCATTTCAGAAAAAAAATCTTAACCAAACATTGCTGTTCTTCCCTAAGGCTTAATTTCTAAGGAGCCAACGAAAGTCCAATTGCTTTCAGGTACTCTTGTAAGACCCAGGTCTGTGTTTCATCAGTCTGCTCTTGTCAGGAACAGCACTCAATGACCACCTGCCATTGTCACCAGTCCTTTCAACCATTCAAGCCCAGATGTAAAAAGAGACTTCAATGAGCTAGGTGGCCTCTGAGTACAAGCTCCTACGGAATTAGGTAGCAGCTGAGTACAAGTTTCGTGAATTACATGGTTCCTCAAATTGAGACTTAAACATCAAATTAGCTTTGCGGGCTTAAGTGTCCCTCGGATTCCTAGGCACACAGCCTTAGCAGAAAGCTTTGCTGCCTCAAACTAGATCATGCTTGGAATTACCCTCCTCATCCCCAAGAGTTTGTTGTGAGGTTGCTTGGGTATAGTCATTGTGTTGCTTTTCTGCTTGGTCTTCCAACTGTCCCTTACTATGCTAGATGAATATAACCATGCAGGATAGTCTAACAGTACAGTATAACTACAGTCACCGTACCTCACTGACCAGGTCCTCTTCAGCAGCGGTTCCCAACTGCTGGTCCCCCTGCAGCCTCCAACTGCTGGCTGCCAGGCTGCAGGAACCCCGTCAGCAGAGCCACGCAGCCATGGCCCCCAGCTGCTCCCAGGGTCAGGGTGCAGCAGTGATGGCTGCCAGCGCTGGAGCCTGGGCTGTGGGACTAAAAATAGCACCGTGGCCCTGGCTCAACTCCCATCTCCAGCCCCATCCGCCACGTGGCCCCGCCCCCAGGAGCAACTGGTGCTGCAGCTGCATTGTGGCTGCTGTGGCCAGACCACAGTACTAAAAATAGTGCTGCGGCCCCAGCTTCAGTCCCGGAATACTGGGTGTGCTGCCCCATATATCAGGACTGGAGACAGGATCACGCTGCTACTTTTAGTATCGCGGTATGGCCCCAGCAGCCACCATGCAGCCGCAGCCCCAGCTGCTCCCAGTGCCAGGGCAACATGGCGGACAGGCCCAAAGCTGGGACCGCAGCTACATGGCAGGTGGTGGCAGAGACTGGAGCTGCAGGGCTGTGTGGCCAAAAACAGGAGACTGGCCCTACAGTGTATGGTGGTGGGAGGCTCTAAGGGGTAAGGGAATGGGAAGCCAGCTGTTCACAGTGGGTCGGGGGAAGAGGGGGTGGTGTCAGGGCTTTTGGCATAGTGAAAATGCAAATAAAATGTTGCCGGTTCACCAAAAGTTTATGAATGGGTTTGCCGGTCCCCAGCATAAAAAAAGGTTGGGAACCACTGATCTACAGTGTTCACAAAATTATGTATCAATATTCTTATAATATAACCACTACACATCCACTACAACAGTCCCTGTTCCCAAACAGCTTACAATGACCAATTTGTTCTTCTTAATGGACATGAAACAGAAAATTACATTAATTGATCCTTCCTCTATGCATTAGGACACCTACAATTACTCTCTACTACAGGATGTCCTCACTATAAGTCCAAGATATGTTCCACAAAACTTGGATTTATAGCAAAACAACTTAAAGCAGGGAACTTTTTCTCCATGGCTGACTTCCATTTGCGCAATTCCCAACTTAAGAGCGGGGAATGAAAGGACTTATGATGCATCAGTTCCTATAAGCATCAATGACTTTAGTATGGAACGGGTGTATACTGGGGTGACTTATAGTGGGAACACACTTTAATGACACGAGCAATGCTAGGTAAATGTGCTAAAGAAGGGTTCAGGTCAGAGGTTTGGGAATGTGCAGGGCTTGAGAGTCAGGGGACCATAAGTATTTTATTTCCATTATATGAAAATAAAATCTACTCTCCCGCCGAAAGTTTGTGACTGGGTTGGGAACCACCGGTCCACACCATAGCACATTGATGGCAGAACACTCTCCCATTCACTTACTGCATCTTCACTAGATTCGCTAAATCAATGCTGCTGCACGAATTGCAGCAATGCCAATTTAACTCATAGAGGACAAGCTCTTACGAAGAAACTTCCAAGTATTTTAGTGAATGACAGCTTTTCTATGGAAGTGGGAAGAAGGAATAGGTTGTCTTACACTGCAGACAGTGACAACACCAAAGGTTATCTGTTACTCAACCATCTCACAGCGATGTGAGATAAGGAAGATTGCTTTGAGAAATGTCTTTTTTAATATGAGTCTGAATTTTTTCCTGACTCAAAAACAACAGAAGATGAAAATGTATTCTAGGGATGTTAAGAGGCGGGTGATTGACTAATTGTGTAGTCGATACAATTTGTATCGGCTACACAATTAGCTGATAAGGGAAGGTGCTCTGTCCTGGCTTGAACCAGTTCAGGAGCTATCCCTGCTACAGCTCTGCAATTTAAATGTAGTAGGAGCCAGATGAGCAGGCAGCCTGGCTACATTTCAATTGCAGAGCCGCAGCAGGGGTAGATCCCAGACCAGTACAAGCCGGGACCACTGCACCTCTGCATTCTAAATGTACTAAGAGCGGGGCAGCTCTTATTGCTTTTAAAATGCAGAGCCATAGCAGTCCCAGACCAGCCTGAGTCCCTGTTTGTGGCAGCCCAGTCTCCTGCTAGAGCAGTAACTGTCCCAGCACGAGCTCCTGTTCCCTCTCTCCCCACTGCCTCTGATACAGAGGCAGCAAGGGTGGGGGGGAGGTGGGGGAAGAAAGCGAGTAGTCAAGGACTCAACTCAACTCCTCACTTATATGCCTAATATATTCTCGGTATTCTTAGGCCAGCTTTTTCTTCATTAGGAAAATTGTTGTTACTTTCAACTTTTACTATAAGACTGTACCATGTTTTTCCTCATACACATGTTCCCCTCCCCATAATTTCCAATGACGGAAATATCTTCTCCAAATATTCAGTTTACTTTAAATGTGAAATATACAAATATCAATATTAAATATCTACTCATCTTCAACACTTCCAAAAGCTAAAATACACCACCTACTGGCAATTTAAGTGTAAAATCCATCAACTGTTTGTACTGAAAGATGTATTTTTAAATTACACTGCATTTGATTTTAACTTCAGAAGCGTACAGAGAACTTTAGACTATATACTCCCCACTGACTTACAGCCAACTGAAAAAAGTCAGAGGCATGTCTACAATGCTTGGCATTTTGGACTACAGGAGTGTCAACTGCAGCACCTATAGTGTCTCCATGGCGAAGTTACAGCACACCATTCGTGCATGCTGCAATTCACACCCAGCAGTCCAAAAATGTGGGTTGTGTAGACATGTCATCCCAAAATATTAAAATACTTGACAGCAATGTTTCCTGTAAGCTGTACACTTGTGTGGCTGCTCAGGAGAGATTCAGATGCTGCCCAGATGATTAGCAGAGCGCCGACAGCTAGGTTTTTGTTTTTAATTGTGGAGCACATTCACACATGCGTGCATGCACACAGAAAAATTTATTCTGCACATGAGTCGAAAAGAGGAGAAGGGACATTGCTTGACAGCACATCAGACAAGGGCACTGCTGCCTGGATAAGACGGAGTAATTCTATTGCTTACTTCCGGATTTCAGCATCAAGAGCTGTCTTCCCCATCTCCATTATGCCACACTAATAAATTAAATGATAAACTGGAGAGTTAAAATCATCCAGTATTGTCTCTATAACCTTTGGTCTTTATCAGCTTGGCTGCATGGCCAGGAAAAGTCAGACAAGTTGCAGCCTTGGTATTACCTTAGAATTAATGAAGCTAACAAACCTGAAAAGCTAGTTTTAACTGGAGTTTATGGCTAAGTCTACACTGCTGCTTTACCATGCTGCAACTTACTGGCTCATGGGTATGAAAAAAGATCCCCCTTTTCCCCCCATTCCTCCTTGAGGGCAGCAAATTACAGCACTATAAAGCACTCATGTAAATGGGCACACCCAGCACAGTTAGCTAATCTCGTGATGGAGGTGGTTTATATAAAGCACTGGGAGAGCTCTCTTCCAGCACTCCTGCCATGGCCACACTTTCACTTTAAAGCAGAGCTGCTGCAGTGCTTTAATTATAGAAGTGTAGACAAAGCCTATGGATAGGAGGGGGAAGATCATTTAAATACATATTTTAGTTTTAACTTTTGGAATCCACTAATTGGAGTAGAACACTGGGTTCTATTAGCACCTCTGCTACTGACTCACTAAATATACGATTTTACACAACAGCAGCCTCATTGAGCTCAGTGGGGCTACTCACAGCTACACTAAGATCATGTTACAGGACTGGATTTTTAGGAACCAGCTAGAATAAGTCATTTAATATCTATACCTGAGTCCCATCTCACAGGGAGCGTTAGCTGATGAAAAATGCTATAAGGGCTTTTGCTATAAAACTTTCCCTATTTATAATCATGTTAAACAAACAAAAACAAAATCACATTGCACTGCCCTCCACCCTCAATACTTGAAAGCAGGATTGGGGAACAAATCAAAAAACTACAACAGTGAAGCAAAACACAGAAAAACAAAACCACCCCTTCACTCACACTTAAGTTGGAGCTCCAGCCCCACGAGGAAGGGACAGGGTATTGAGGTTCCATGCGGAGACATGCCATTGGCTGGATCAAATTAAGCCAGGGACGAGATGAAGCCTGCTAGCTGTAGGTTCCCCATGTCTGCTTTAAAGCTTCAAGAGTAAGCTTTTTCAAACAGATGAAAAATTGGAAGCTTTTCTAGATCTTGTACAACAAATGCTTACCTGAAGTCGAGAGTTCATGAGCATGAACTCCTGTTGACTCTTCATGTTTTCATTCATAGATTTTGAAAAGATGAATCCCATTTTGATCTAAACTGTAGTTATAAAAGGTAGATTTTAGTGTTTTAAAACACTAACCACAACAACTGAAGTTTATTTTGAATGTTTCTCTCACAATAGGAACAATAAACAACTTTAATAGCACAGACTCTGTTAATAAGGACTTTGCTGCTGGCTACCACCCAAAAGTTTTATAACTCATTGTATCATATCTACAGTTAGACAAGAGTGGCAAACACTGGGGCCATGTCTACACTGCCTCTTTTTTTTTACAGACGGCAATACAAATGAAGCGCTCATTAACAACTTTTCATGCTTCATTTGTATAATCTCTGCCGGAGGCTTTTTACAGAAGAGTTTTTTTCACTAAAACTAGCAGTGTAGAGATGGATCTCTTTTGTGCAAGATCCTTATGCCTCAAAAAAGGAGGTATGCAGAACTTCTGCAAAAGGTTTTTATTTGCGCAAAACAGATCCATCTACACTGCTAGTTTTTGCACTTCATTTGCATTGCCTCTTCTGCAAAGAAGAGGTAGTGTAGACATAGCCAGGCTGTGTGTGGGGAGGGGTGTATTTTAAGGGGGGAAAAAAATCAGATGTTGCAATAATTAGGTGACAGCTTGATTGGGTCACTATAACTATGATAAGATAATTCAGTTCATGTGAGTGACATGGAAGACTAAGTGGGGTTTTAGAAGGGATTTGAATGAAGGTGGTATAGAAATCTAAAAGACATGGACATGGATGACAATTTATTTCCTTAATAGCTGTTTAGTAACATTTTTTCAAAACACCATCAACAGACAGGGGAAAAGGTATTGATAAAAGCAATCTTATTATTTCATGGTTGATGATTTCTGCTTAAATGATCCTCTCCAACCATAAAAATGGAAAACTGCTTCAGAGAATAATATTGTAACAGCTCCTCTGAGAGCCCTTCTGGTTGTTCTTGTTCCCAAAGCATTTATTATCTGCAACTTGTTCAAACAGAAAAACAAAGTTTTGCACAAGACAGGCAAAACACAACATGATAGAAACTAACAGCTCCCTGCAACTCCTGGAAAAGCCTGCCTAGACCAGAACTTCGTGCTTAAAACACATGCTCGCTAGTGTTCCTTGTATAGGATTTTATTTTGTTCGTAACTTAGGGTTCCTCTCCTTAGCACCAAATTGGGGGAGGGGGTAGATTGGCAGACATGGTTTCTTGCTGCAGCATAGCCCGATCCCTGCTCTCCACTTTCACACCATCTCACTGCAATTGCAACTCCCCATTCCTGGGCACAGCCTGGACCTCTGCTCCCCAACAACCATCATCCCCATTTCCTCCAATCCCCCACCACCCTCCAGCACGACCCAGCCTGCTACCGGCATCTCACCCACATGCCCTCCACACTCCCACCAGACCGCCCCATTGCACAGCCCGCTGCCAGCCCCGCTCCTGCCACCAGGGACGAGTGCAGCGCCGCGAGTTCCCGCCCCCGCCCCTCACCGCACGGGCCGCCGGTCTCGCGGGGCAGGCGATCGCTCGGGAGACGCCTCCCACCCAAGTTTCCTCGCGCGGCCTTCGGGAAGGGGGCGGGGCGGGGCGCGCTCTAGCGAGAACCCCCCGACCCTCTGCGCGTGGCCAACGAGCGAGCTGCCCTGCGTTTCCCCTGGCGCGCGTGCGCCGGGGATTTAAAGGGCCAGCGCGCGGCAAGGTGAAGGCGGTGCCGCGAGCAGCCAGCGCCCGCCCGATGCCCAGCCGCCTTCACAGCGCCAC